GGGAGAACACCAAGGTCAGAAGAGAGGCTATTTCCACTGTAGCCTGCGGAAGACACCACAGTGGTCTGTTCAGATGGTTGTTCCTGAAGGAATCACAGCCTCTGAGGAGCCCCTGCCAGCACAGGGGAAAGTGTGAGGAGGCAGGACTCTTATGCACTGATCACTCCCCCATTTTTTTGGGAAGTGAAGTTGAGGTTGGGAAAGGGACTAGGAAAGGTATTGTGTTAATGTTTATCTTGTTTCCCACTATCGAAATTATTGGCTATTTTTTTATTCTAATTGGCAATAAATTAATTTTCCCAGAGCAGTCTGTTTTTCCCATTACTGAAATTGTTAAATTATGTCCCTGCCTTTATCTCAACCCATGAGTTTTATCATTCCTGTTCTTACTATTTTTCCCCACCTCCATACCAGTGAGTTGTGGGAATAATCAGGCATCTGGGTGGGTGGTTTCCTGTTAGCCAAGGTTAATTGACTATTTCACTCCAAAACAAAAATATCAGTGTAGTTCTGGGGAGTATTGCAGCAGTATTTATTCCAAGAGATACCTGAGATTGGTCTGTATCTGTTTTGATGTCTTCTGTCATTCTCCTAAAGAGCTTTGCACTCTCAAATACTGCTACACATTCCATGTTGCGCTTTAGGGCACCCAAAACAACTTTACATAATGCATGAATTGCAGCACAGTTCTCACATTACTTAATGCCTTTTTAAAACTGTTATACATCCCTAAAAAGTAAAAATTTTATCTGTGGTGTGCAGAAGAAAATACATGAGGCTCAGAGGAGACCCATGATCAAATGCTGCTTAGTGAGGGTGTGGCCAATCTCTTCTAGATGGGACTGAAATTAAGCAGACTAGACACAAACCACTAAATTCCAGTAGTCTGCACACCAAGAGCAACTACAGGAAATGCATTTTACAGTAGACACATAGAGTAACTGGAACAAAAGAATAAATATTTCACCAGTGAACAGAGCAGGGATGATAAGGAAGTAAGAAGAGTAGTAGTATTTATTACAACAGACAGAAAAAAACCCCACTAAGCATTTGAATACATACACAGAAGTGTGCCACATACATCAGATTCTAAACCATAATGCTAAACAAACTAATGTTGAATAGTGTAATGTTCCAGTGAAGGAAGAGGGCACTGAAGACAAAGATGACTGTGCAGCTGCTTCCAAACTACTACCGACACAATACCAGAATACACCTCATTTCTTTGGGATGAATGGCTTCAACATTGAGTTACAAAGCAACAAACATGGAAAAGACAGTGTGAGGGGAAAACTGAAATGAGGAATCATCAACCGAAATGATGACTTGCTGTCTGACATATTGCTCTCCAAATTTTCACAAGAGAAAAAAAGGCAAATTTTTCAGACACAAAAAGAAAATTTTGACCACACTGCATTTTCTGAAGACAGATCACGTGTGGCTCTGATGCACCAGCATGCCAGGCAGCAGGGGACAGTGGTGACTACAACCAATGCTCTGCCCAACTAAAAATAAAACAAAGATACCCTCTGATTAGGAAGTGACAGAGATCAACAGTGCAAAACTGAAAACAAAAGGGCAGTATGAGGAATTCCAACATGGCCCTAAGAATAGGCTGACACTAGTCCGTTATCATACAAGGGAAGCTCAAATAAAAGAAAAAGGGAAGGGCACAGACTCAGTGTGATTCAGTTCATCTGTCACAACTGGGTTTTAGTATACTCACAGCAGAGATGGAAATGTGGTGCCTAAATGAGTAAACAATAATTGAAGAGCTAAGGAATTTATGGCATGGTACAATAAACTGTGAAACCATTTAGTATTTTTAACCAAGCAATGTTTAAAATGAGACAACCAAATGTAAAGGAGGAAAATTCTCATTGCTGAAACAGAAGAGATAGGGGATTCTTTAAAGGGAATAATTAATAGCATTTCCTTATCTCAAGCACAGCTTTATATATAATATCTGAAAATCAAAAACTAATCCCACCCCATCAGGATTTCAGGACCAGTTACAAACAAGAAGCTGACAAATAACAAAGGGGCAGGATATAAAATCACAACAGAAAAACTAGAAGTATTTGACTCTCTTCCCTGATGAAACAGATAAATGTTCGTAATGAAATCTGTGAAGGCAGAAAGGAAAAGCCTTTCTGAATAATAGAAATAAGGAAACTGGATAGGATATTGTGAAACAGTGACCTCACTGACTTAACAACTGGAGACAGCTTGTACTGCTCTTCATGGCAAAAATAATTTCCAGTGTGATACAATACATCAGTAAGTATACACAACTTACAAAAGCAGACAAATTCTGTTTGATAAATAGAAGATTAGGTCAACTACTTTTCTCTTAAACTCTTCCTCCTCAGGATGAGTCAACACTACTTCCAAAAAAGGTCAACACTATCCACAAAAAAATTCCAACCCCTCAAAAAACTAGAAAAAAAGAGCTTTAGCCAAAAACCCCCTACAAACAGCTAAACCAAAACAAATCTTCTTGTAACTCTTATGACAAAAGGTTACATGCTGGTAGGCAAAAACATCAGAGAAAGAGAAAACCCCAATGAATTAGGTAATTCTGATAAAATACAATACTGGATTATTCTGACTCTAGAAATATGATGAAAGGACCAGAAATATAAAAGCCCTGACCCAATCAGCAAACACTTCTCATCATAAGGAGAAGACTTTTCTTAATCTCAAGAGAGTAATAAAGAATATAATTCTATTTAATTTTTATCACTTCAAACTCAAAGCCTGTTAGAAGTATTTAAATGATGTAAGACAAATATGTAATTGCATTACAAAATAAAAGTTCAGTAACTATAGAATTTCTATTGATTTTTGATAAATGCTTCAAAAAAGGTAGATAAGAACCTGTTCAGATACATTTTTTTTATCTAATAAATCAATATTTCAAGACCACATCTATGTAAGCTGAAATCAAATGACTATTTTCTATTACCAAATATTCACCACTTTGACTTTAATGATTTCTCTGTGTGCTCAATACCACTACAAAAGGTTGGTGGCTACAACTCAAAATAGAGTGCTAAGAATTCTCAGAAACAATACACTTGTGAATCTGAAACAGTTCTGACACTATATTGTTTGAAGGCTCCTCCTATTCAGCATGGAAATTATTAAAGCTACTCACATACTTAAAACCAAGTTTATGGACAAAGTTTAGTCACTCTGTGACACTGCAACTGAAGCTGAATGTAAATTTGTGGGAAAAAAAATATTTTTTTTTTAAGGTTCCACAAGGGGCAGCACATATATATGTGTGAGATCAGCAAATTGCTGTAATATGTACAAGTCTTAAATATCTAAGAAAATCTATAGATAGAAATCTCAGAGGTGGCTCAAATTGCTCAAAAAAGCTTACACTAAGTAGGCTTCACCACATACAGTTTTGTTCCTCTTTTGTCTGGATAAGTATACTGCTTACTCTCAAACTGTTGAACCTTCTTGGGAGGAAATAGACAACACTAGGAAAAGATTCCAAAAGGAAAAATAAATATTATTGATATCTGCATAAAGATGAGATTGACAGGACATCCTTCAAAGAGTGAAAACAGAGGCCCAAAAGAGCATTCAGGTTTAAAGATGGTTACAGTTTAAGAAGGCATACTCTATTATGCATGCAAAGTGGATGCAAGGTGTTCAAACATGCAAAAGGAAAAGAAGTTTAAACCAATATTGAATATCAGACAGGGAATAGTAACCTGGCTTTCATACCTTTTTGACCAATTTCTTAGCTGGCAAAAAGTGACATTGCTTAGTTTACTCAGGAGGAGCCTGGATCCTAGCAGCTAGGGATTCAAGCCCTGGTACACTTGGATGTGTTTTGTTTAAATTAGAAAAAGGATCAAAAAACTGGTTTGGCTACTAGTTGGGACTTCAGCAATAAAAAGATGGACATAGAGGCAGAGAAATAATTGTATAGCAATTTCTCTGTAACACTTGTTGGCCTACATACTCGTGGTCTTCTGTTGCTAGTCAGGAAAGAAGGCATTCCAGCAGTGATGCAATCAGAGGGCTCGTAGTAAATTAACTAAAGGCTGAACTTCTTTTAAATTAATAAATATATCACAGACACATTTATATGGTTAGTTATGGATGTTGCAATAAAAGTCTCCGAGGTTTGACCTGATAGCTCATTTTTTATCATGGGAATGGGTTATGGGATGGGAGCAGGCTATGAGAATCAACTACTGTCTATTTACTCAACTGCAGGGAAAAAAAATTAAAAATCCAACTCTGTGTACATGTGAAAAACTGTAATATATTCAGTTCATGTAGACTCTAATATGTTTGTGGGCATCATCATCATGAATAGGAAATAAAGAGTACATTTAATAATTAAGACCACCTAATCAATGTCCAAGTCCCTGTGAGTGTATAAAACTTGGGGCCACTTGCAGAGAGCATAAAAAAATTCTAGAATTGAGTAAAATTCCATAAAAAATAGTTTGCAATGATTGACCAGTAAAATCAAAGCAATTATCCAAGCCCTGAAAATGCATGCACTCCAGAATAATGTTATGCATCAACAGTCAGTGGGCCTGCTCTCATGCGTAGAATTACTCTAGTGTATAAATTTTCAGGACTGGGGCCAAGGACTATAATGCCAGACAACAGAGCCCAAAGACAGTTGGCAGCCATTCAGGAAAAGTACTGGGGGTAGAGGTATCAAAACTGTGGACATTTGAGTAAAATTAATAAAATTATACAAACAAAAGGTTTAAAAAACCCCAGATATTTCAGACTTTACACAATTTTTACAGTTTTTTTACATAGAGCAGGTTTTTGTTTTGTACAACTTTTACAGTTTGTATGACCTTAAACTGGAAAGAAAGAGTCAAACCTATTCCAGGAATAGGTAATAAGCTGAATTTGGCAAATGAGAAGCAAGAAAAAAAGGAAAGGAGGAAAAAAAAGAAGAAAATAAGAAGAAGACAATAGAAAATAAGATATTGTGTGTTTAGACTTACCATAGTTTTTTTCCAAGTCAAAGCTGATTATGACTGTTTAAAAACAGAAAAAAATTGGTCATTGAGAAAGCATTTAAAATGTTATCTTGATCACAACAAGTAGAAGATGGCACAATAAAGACCAAAAGTGGATACAAAGGAAATGATAAGTGATGAAAATTAAGAAAGGACAATTAAATATTAAAATAAATTGGGTACCTTAAGTGAAAGAAGATTTTGACATATTTTTAGTTCCACTTGTGATAGAGGCCTGTCTCAAATCACCTAGGGCGTTTCTCACAATACAAGCTTAGAGGTTGTCATTTAGGTGTTCCAAATCTCTGCACTGAATATGCATACTTCTCTTCACTGACAGCATAAGGAGACCAGGCTCCTATCTCTGACACATAAACCATCTAAAGATAGGTTGTGTGAGTATTGTCTGAAAGCAGCTGCCATAGAATAACTGGCAGTCTCTAGTAGTAAAGAAAAATTTAAAAGAAGAAAGCTTATGGGGAAAAAAATCCAAACAATTCTTGAAAAGCAATGCTTTTCACATCTATTATATATCTTCCAAAAGATACAATACCTTTGCAACTGCAAATACAGTCTTTAAAAAATACCAGGAAGGTTCAATAAAATAAACTAGAAGGTTCCAGCTTGCATGTTTAGACACAGGCAAGATGTCTAGTAAAAGGAAAGGAAAATATACCCTTGGATATTTGTCCTATGTTTAGTTAAAGGGTTGGATAGTGCCAAGAAAGACTTTTAGGAGACCTACCCTGAGGTAACTTTCAGACTTCAGGACAGGTATTCAAATATAACCATGGACTTCCATTAAAGATGCAACAATTAAGCAGAGTAAGGCAGTGTTTACTCCAGGGATTTTACAGCATAAATATTCTTTATGTCAGGGGAAAAGAATGTCATTAGACCTGCGAAGGACATTCACACAGAATGGCAGCATCTACAAGCATTCCCCATTGAGTTAGGATCCCCACTTTTGTCCTCTAGGTTGCATTAATTTTGGCTGTGAGAGAAGATAAAGTGAATACCCTGATAAGTGTCAGATCTGATTCACAGGGTAAGCAACAGGATGTGAAGAGGGCACATCAAAAGTCCACAAAGCTCCATAATCTCAGTCATTCCCTGTACATTTATTTATGTAAATAGACTTGGAGGCATGCCCTGAAGATCAAAAAGTAGCATAGTGAAATTACTTCTCTTCAACGAGACTGGGAGGTTCAACGCTATTTGACGAATTGAAGGAAAAGAGTTTACCGATTTAGATAATAGTTAAAACAAAAGGCAGCATTAATCTGATGTTTACATGGTTCAAACATGGGATACATCTCTCATACAAGCATTTCCTACAGTGGGCAAAGAAAGGAACAAGCTCTCTTTGACCAGAACCTGTGATTAGGAAAGGCAATGTCATAGGTTTACATTCTCCCTTTCCTTCAATCCTGCTTCTGGAAGGCAGTCAGGTTTAATGTTGTGAAATAGGAAAATGGACACTTACTGATGATCTAGACCAGAAAAAAAAATCTCAAACACCTTTTCCAATCCATAGCTTTTAAAATTTAATATCCTGAACTTTTCTACAGGTGACCCAAGCCCACCCTTCTTTTTACAGTCATGTTTAGCAGCAGGCTGTATATTTAGAGTCTATAGTAAAATAGACTGCACATTTACAACACTGATCTTTGCTTTCTGAACTATGGTTTAGTCAAGTACGTTGTAGTAACCAAAATATAATGAACACTAACTACTAGAACTACATTCTGCTTCTTTGGCTCTCCAGTAAAGTCATTTGGAGGGTAAAAAATATTTCTAAGGGGTTTGCCCACTGCATGCTGCAGTTCATTACATAGCAGTGAAGGGTAATAAATGCAATGAGATGGTTACTCCAACAATATGGGTACATATAAATTAAAAATAATGTAAAAAGAGAAGGAGACAGAGAAAATCAAGATAACAAGAACTGCAGGTCATCCTCATTGATTGTAAAAATGAAGCCTAAAAAAAAATTTAATAATGAGCAATGAACTACATCTAGTGCTGAATTCCCTGCCTCTCTCTGGGCTGGCATTAGCTGCCATTATAAATTGAGGGAAGAATTCCCAAAATAATTGCAAATAGCCACTAGAGATTCTGCACACCAGTTAATGTGTGTCTGTGGGCATGCTAACAAAGGCAATTCCTTAGCAAGCAATATGTGAGTCGCCTGGGATGGTTAATGAATCTGCTTTGTGGTAAACTTTTTAGTACATCCTACAGAGACCTTTTAAGCATGTTGCTTTTGGAATTTTGTTATTTTTATAAAGTTTTTTTGACTGAAATTCATTTTTCCTTTTATTCAGGAGATTCTTGCAGTGCAGTTTTCACTGTGCTATGCATTTAGCTTTGGGGAAGCTTATTGCAAACCTGTTTGTTGATATCTGCAGTGGAGAGTAACTTTTTCTGCTTTATTTTAAAGTGAGAGAAGTTTGTTATTTTTTTTGAGCACTGTTTAATTTGTACATAATATTTAATCTGTAGTGCCTCTCAGAGAGCCAAACTGCTAGGAAGTTACTCTTTTCTGTCACATTCTGCAAATATTAAACTCCAGCTCCCCATCATCATTTACAGCCTGTCCCCTACAGAGGGCACCTTTGTCTTATTGGAATTGCTTCTGCAAAAAAGATAATCGCTGGTTATCAGAGAAATAACTGAGCCTTAAAGAGAGCTCAGACTTCTCTCAGACACAAGGACCTTGCTTGCCTAGGCTTTTTAATTAACCAAGTTTTGTACTGTTACTCAGCAGCAAGAAATAATATTTCTTTCTGCATTATTACAGTGTCTCCTAAGAAGCGAGGCGATGAACTGAAGATTACTAGAATTTACATGAGAGGTCAATGAGTGCTGAGGCAAATTAAAGAGCATAAATTTAGGGGCTTTTTCTTTCCATCAGTAATTAAGGGATTTGTCATTAAAAAATGTTTCTGAGATGGGTACTAAAAACATTGTCTGTGGGAAAACAAGCTGTAGAAAGAAAGTCAACCATTTCCCAAATAAATCTTTCTAACAGACCTCCAATTAGTAATTGCTATCTGAAAGCTGTTCAAGTGGAAGAAAGTAAGATTTTATTCTTCTTTGTAGGGTTAGATTATCAAAACTGACCCTGAAATTTGTATTTGGGAAAAATAACAATTGACTGCAAGACTGAGTCAAAAAGTAATTTTCTTCCTGATTTTTTTTTAGTGTGCTATTATTTATGAAGTGTCAAGTATATTATTCTTAGTATCTACTGGTTCTGAATAAAACTAGCAATACTTTTCTTCTGAAGACTGTTTTCCAGCTCAGTCTGTACCACCATCTTCCTTTACAGGCCACTTCACAAATGTGTTAAGACAGATGCAAACGTCATTGATTTGTAAATGGCAAAGTTAAAATTCTAAAGAATAATCTTTCCTCTGCCATTTTATATATGTCTGACTATTCAAAACAAGCTACAGCTGCAAAAAGAAACATAAGACATTGCACTTATGTGACTCCCAAACAGGCCAATCCTGTGTTAGTTCATATTAACTGGGGGGAAAACACATGAATAAATGCTTTGGTCGCTTTGCATAATGCTTTTTTATGGTGTTCCTATCAATAAAAGTCACAAATAGCCTTATAAATTTAACAGGAGGCAAACTGTTGCAAGAAGACTCTAACTTCCCAGGCTGGTTTCTGGGACTGACATTGAGTGTAAAGAATCTAACACAAAACCCAGCAAGGAATGTGCCCTGCCTTCCCTAACATTTTTCTAGAAGCTCTTATAGAAAATGCATTCATGTTTACATTTTCAGCTTCAAATACCCAGCACAAAAGCATGGGAACACAAAAACCTGAATCTCTAGTCTAGGCTCCTAAATTAATTAAGCAGGACTTGTATTCGTGCGTAATACTTTAATGCCATTGGAAAACTGTTTTAGGGAGCATTTTAGCAAGCTCCTCCTGTGTTATAATTTTACTTCCTTTTTCTTCTCTAATTATAAGCCAAAGCTGGATTCCTAACTAATGAAGGAATCTTTTTTTTTAAGATTTCATTTCTAGAAGTCAATAGGAATGTTGCCCATGTAAAGATTGCAAGATCAAGAGCTTGTACCTATAAAAATGTCCAATGTGAATACATGTTTTAAGACATTTACTGTAATATAAAACAGTAGAAGCTACATTTGCACTAGTGCCCGGAATGTTTCATAGAACATGATGGTCTACACTGTAAAACTGTTTGAATTGCCCCTGGTACACTTTAAGCATCCTAAACCCCAATTCCTGGTTGCAGTTTGAAGGAGAGGGAGGATGCACATCTGAGACCCTTCCCAGCTGGAAGGCTACTGCTGCTACTATCTTGTTTTGAACAGCAGAAATTTACAAAGAGGCATATGTGCTAGTTGGCTTTATTGCATAGGAACATTCCCAGGCAAGTTTAATTTGCTAGCATAAACCTAGCTTCCAAAACTGTGTTTACTGCAGCCATTACATATCACAGTATTTAAAAGTATTCAGCTATCAGCCCTTACTTGTAAACCATATGCTGAATTTTAAGTTTATATCAGTAGGAAAGAAAACACTCAAGAAAACGTTTTCTCAATTATAGATACTTCTATATGCATTATTTTCCTTGTAATTGTTTCAGCTTGATAGGAAAAAATAAAACTTAGAGCTGTTAAGAAAATGTTTGTTTTGAATATGGTTGTAGATGGTGTAGATTACAACAGAAAGTAAAAGCCACAGAAGAACATTTTAGAAGTATCTAAACTACTTAGAAGTCCCACTTTCAAAAGAAGACAACTTTACCAGCAGACAACAAAAGACCTTCATTTTTAGTGAGGGGTACTCCATGATATTGACAGTAAAGATATGGTACAGCCCCACAGCAGGTACAGTTGAATTCAGCCCTTAAAATCCTTTCTCAGTAACATGGCACATTTTCCTTGAGAAGTAAGAAAGTCTTCCTCCTGGTAGTAGTGTATTTGTCAACTGATTTAGATTTTCCAAGGAAGAACCAGGGAAACCTTAAT